CTGTATGGTTTATCAAGGCCTTCATTTACCGTAGAAGGATTTTATCTGACAATATAAAAATACTTGAAAGGCAGAACTACTATTTTCGAAAAGGGCTTAGTTTTAAGATTTATTATTTTGTATTGGAGACAAGATATGTTTACATACATCAAATTATTCAATGAGTTACGATAGTGAGATAGTAAATAGGTAACAGATCTATAATATCTGACTAAATGAGACTCATAAATTATCTAGAATACCAACTAAGTTCTTTAGATCTCGTCCCAAAATAAAGTTTGCACAACAATGCTTCTATCCACCATGTTTTCCTGTGAAGAGCTCTCAACCGATACATTTATTGTGCTAAATCCAGTATTTCATCCATAAGTTTGTTAGTCGTTTATTTTTTATTTATTAATTTTCTTGATAATTATTTAACAACTTGGTATGTGGGATATGATCCAAAGATTGTTTAATTTTAGGCCGGTTTTTTATTACTAATTTCAAATAAATTTTCATCCGGTTATTTAGTATAATACTTCTCTTTTTATACACTAAATGTCGCACATCAGCATTCCATAAAGTTCGTGCATTGCATTTTCCTGTTACTTTTATTACATCTCACAATATAAGCCATCCTATTTCGTAATTTTATTTTCTCTACTGCTTTTCAAAACACTATAATTCTTTACTTCACTTGGAACCTTTTAAAATCTACAGTGAATAGGAACTGTTTATATTTATACCTGAAACAGGTGACCAGATTATTTTTATATTGGATGTAATTATTATGTATACTTCCAAAACATAAATGTGTAGGCAAAAACAAATCGTTTGCCAATTGAAGTTTTGACCTTATATTCATTATACCAATAACCTTTTCAAAACACACAAAAAGCATTATATACATGCTTTTAGAAAAAACGTAACATTATCCTTTCAGTTTATGCAAAAATATCAAAAATACTCCATATCTGAGAAACCATTTAGTTCTGGAAGATGAAGTTTCTATCTAAAATAAACATATCTTGTTAAAACTATCTTGTTAAGACTGATAATACCTACAATAAAATCTAAACAATATTTTAACTAGTTTGTATACAAGATATTTAGTTCAGGTTCCTTTTCTTCGCTCGATGTTGAAATGAACACAGTTTATTTTAGCATGGTTAAGGTTTTTTACTGAGTAGTAGTGAAAGCATACAACCACACCTAGAAACGATTAATGTCGCTACAATAACCATCATGTCTTGATTCTCAAAACTGGTTACTGTCTTAAACACTGATTAACGTATGTTTTTAAGAGACCAATAAGATCCCCGATGAGTTATTAATTCCTAAAACTGTTCAATAAAATCTGAAAGGTATTAAGTTTCTTAGTAACGTTTATGGGTTGTTTGCCGTCATTAACCTTAAAATTCTTCACAATAATCAAGATCGCCTTATCTTTTTAGTACGTCTGAATTAGAATAAAACGCGAACACCGTTGTTTCACTTAATTTACTTCAACTTCGTTTAGGTCTTTCAAAATATAATTAAAGTTTTGAGGCTCAAATAGGTCAAGAACAATAAACATATCAACATTCAAGAAACACTACAATTTTCAATCAAATATCAAACTATTTAAATACCTTCACTTTTCGATACCAAGTACTTTATATTCCCAATCTTATTTTATACTACCCAACAATAAGTTAATTCATCAAGTTTAATTCTTCCAGTAGAATTTAGAACATAAATGTCCACAGTAAAATGTACTTAAAAGAAGAAAAATTTCTTCAGACTTATGTAAAACCTACTAGATATTTGACAGAAATGAAAAATTAACCCATGTATAATTTTATTTGTACATTTGAAAATACGAAGCATTTTCATCTACTGAATTATTATTTAATAAAAAAGTGGCATTTATCTGTCAATATCTATCACAGTTATCCATACTGTTCAAGCCTACAAACATTTTCTTAGCATCCTGATATTTATATTAATCCGTTTAAATAAACAAACATCTATTTTAGGATTTAGTTATAAAAGACAAGGGAAGAATCTATTTATCTATTCGTTTAAAAAGACAAAATGCAAAACTTAAAAATAATACACAGGGAATAAAATATTTATGTTTGATAAAAACAAAAGTTATTTCTAGCAGTGGAAACCAGGACACTCTGGGTTCGAGTCCCAGAGTGAACATCAACTCTCAATGGGAAGATACAAGCAAAACAATACCAAGTGACTTTATAAGTTATAATGGGAATTTTTCAGCAATTAAAGTTATTTCTATTTAATAAAACAATGTAGTGAGAAGTATGGAAAAATCCTAGTATGACATTTTAGTTTTTAATTTAATTTCCCTGTTACAAACCTATGATATAGCTACTAAAATATTTCACTAAACTTATTTAGTGCTTAATTTCAACTAAAATAACAACAACAAAAATGATTTCACTTCAGAAAAAAGAGAAGGCCATTTTGATTGAATGTTAGTTAAATCGTTCAGAATTGTACAAATTTCATTTCTAGCTACCTTCTTGAAAGTGAAACAAAGAAAAACTTCATTGAATCAAACATGTGTATTCTGAAAAGTTATTTTTAATTAAATAATCATAAACATTTTTATTGCAAGTCTCTCATAATGTAGAATTATCAATTGTAGTCATAGTATTTATTCATGTAACATATGAATATATGAATCAAAATGGAAATGAATTCATTGGTCCTATGCACTTTGTCTTTTTAATGTATTAAAGTATATTACAAATTTCTGGTTCCAAGTAAAAACGGTAATACTTGGCAATATTATTATGATTACTATTTTGTAGCAAAATATTATTATGCTAACTAAATAACATACATCTAAACCAGTATTTATTATCCGCTAACAGTGTAAATGAACAAAAGAATGAAAATTCTTAGACAAAATATTGTGAAACAATTTCGTTAACAAAGCATCTTGATTAAGTAAATGATCATCCTTTTCTAATTTGCGTCTATCATGTCAACATGCTTCAGTTGTTATGATTTCATCAATAAACAGTATAAAAACACTAATTAAAACAGATCCATTCATATATAAAAACTGTATGAATTTGTTTAATAATGCTTGAAAATTAGAAACAATGAACGCATTGAGAAAATTATTGCATCCGATCAATGTCTCTTACCTTTCTGACCCATTTTTGCAAAACGTCAACCTAAACTACTTAAAAGTGTATGACTTTTTATTTCCCAGACCTGTAATTAAAGAGTAACATGTGAAATGGGTATAAAACATCCGATGCTTTGCTATCACCCTAGATTTTAGACAATTTCCCCAATCTAAATGGAAATCTTTCATACTTTAACTCCTACATTCAACAGTTTTCAGTTTAAAAATATTTAAATACCCCATGTGTTTGATCACTATATTGTTACTGTTTTTCACATCAATATTTAAAACTACACTTGTCAATGAGGACCACGTTGTAACTATTCGTATTGTTTAAACGGTCTGTTGTTTAAATATGTAACGAAAGAAATCATAAAAATCTTTTTTGAGTGCAAAGGTTTACAACTATCTACGATATTTCATCCTTATTGTCAACAATTTTCTTGGTAATACTGGCTATACTATTCTCCTCAGTTCATTTCTTCCAAACAAATTCAGCATATTTAAACCTGTAACATTTTAAATAATTTTTAAGCGAAGATAGTTGGTGGCTAGCACATGCGTTTCTTCCTAATTGGGATTTTTCAGATGAATGCATTTGAATCTCAGAGTTGTACACACCATCCATCTCTGCTTAAAAATGTGTTCAACTTAATGGCAATATGGAGATAATCTGCGCAGGATGCAAATATGGCAAAAGAGACTGACAAATTACAGTCCTAAACGGTGGTGGGAAGATTCAAAGAAAATTAAAAGAATTAATTTCAAGCTTTATTAGTGAAGTAAAATAATGAGTGGATGTTAATTTTGAGATAAATAAAAGTGTTAAAATAAATATGTTTCTATGTGTATATATGATAATAAATTAGTTAAAACTTGACCGTTATAATGAAAGAGTATAAAATATGTCATATGATACTACATGTTTCTTGATTACTGGTACATGAAATCAAATCAAATCCATAAGGTTTTAAATAAGCCCGCCCATGTCTTAGAACAAAATACACAAATACATATAACAAGTGATTAAAACATGATTTTATTATGCATCTTAAAGAATTACGGATTATTAACCAGTACAAACTATCATTTTTTACACTATTAAAGTTGTTTTCATATGGAGGATAAGAACGTAAACAGTGACATAAACATTTTTTCAGATTTTTTTTAGGACCCTTTCCTATTTGTTGTTATGCCCAGTCACATACAATCAGATAAAAATTACGCTGCCTTAAAAAAGGATAGAGATTGTACCTTTATACGTTAGTAGTGACGCTTCTCGGCATCTCAGCTGTCTGATCAAGATGTGTGACATTATTTTACAGATTGAAAAGTATTAGGTAAAGAGGCTTTGAATATGTGACTTAGTGTCTAAAAGTCAACCATTCATCCAATTATAAAGAGTTTTAACGAAGACGAAATTTTTAAATTATTAACAAATTACCAAATCGAGAATTCTAGACCGATCAATTAAATGCATGTGGTCACAATAGTTACATTCTCTTAGTTCAAAGGATTCAGGTGTACATTTTACAACCCAGATTAAAAATCTAAATAGCTAGTATACTTTCTGAATATAATATATCCACAATTATAACAATAATTATCAAGACGTTCATTCGATGATGGATAGTGGCTAGCAGTGGAATCCAGGATGCGTGTTTCGTCCTATTTGGAACTCGTCAGCTAGATGTACATACATATGCCAATAACAGACTGATCAATTGCAGTCTTAAACCTCAATTGGAAGTAGAAGTAAAACAATACCAAGTGAGTTTATTCGATGAATTACTGAAAAATTATAAAACAAACCTACAATATTCAAGTATAATAAATAAATAAATAATTTTAATATTGTTTAAATAACACTTACAAGTTAACAATATAACAATAAACTGAGCCAGAAAAACTCCAAAAAACAAACCAAAAAGGAATAAGCCACGTGGATTATACTGAAAGAAAGAAAAAGAAGGAAAAACAAAAAAATCGATAAAAAAACAGGATGATCAAAAAAGACAACCAAAAAACAAACTATTGTTACAAATAGAATAATGAAAAAAATGATGAAATAGAAAAATATTTCCACAGTTTGTTTTCTGTGTTTATTTTCTTTTTCAGTAGATACACAATTACGAAAGTTTGAAAAAGCACAATAAATAGGGGATAGTTCTTGAATCGAAAAAAAAATAATTCGATAACACACAAATACAAGAACCAATGAACAAGAACATTAGATAAAATAACTAAAATTAATGATTATTGACTAAATCCCATGGCTAATATAATACCGCAATATTTATAGTATGAGGAGATAGCTATTTTTCAGCACCGAATATATATATATCGATGATACTTTCCTAATTTATGACAATATCAAGTATTTATAACAATATATTTAGTATTATCTAAATGACAGCAAGATTCATTTCAATTAGTTTATCTGAGTGAGCAAAATGCATTGTAATAAATTCCTTCCTGGCACAAAAAGATTCAAGAAAAACTGCCAGAAGATTCGTTTATGTTATTCCGGAAGTTCTTTTGATGATAAATAAAGATAACACGATGTATTATTTAAGAGTAGGTATCATTACCAAGGTTTGGCATGATAATTTTAATAAATTGAGCACTGGGTAGAATGCTATAAATAAAATAATATATTCGTAATATCCCAGTGAGTAAAATAATTAGATTTTTTTATTTAAAAGCGTTTAATGTGGGAATAAGACGAATTTCTAACATTTTCATTGAACCGACTCAAACTGTTTAAATTGTATGTATTGAAAAACTGAAAACGTTCAATTTTCTTTCTTTAGTCTCTATATTGTCAAACTTTCGTGGCTGTACACCAATATAATTTATTGTCAATATGTGTACTTGGCGACAAACAGATATCATAAGAATAACAAAACATTGTTTCTTTTAAAATTTGACGAAACCAACTGAAAGTAATATCACATACCCTATACATGTGATCAAATTTACCGAATTAAAATCTTGAGCAAAATCAAAATGCCAAAACATTTTCTAAAATTCACATTTCTTCCATGTTATCATCACTTATGGAGGTAATATGCTTATGTTCCTAGAAATATGTTTCGTTTTTATGAAACATTTATAATGTATTCTAATTTCATCCTATTTTTCCAGCCTCATTTGTTCATCTCAACATTTGTTTACTTTTGTAGAATTAGTATTACTATGTTATTTCGAACTGTAAAGACTCAAACTGATGAATTTTCGCGTAGTGCTTTAAGTTTTACATTGTTGTTTTAGTTCCTGGTTCAAATGAGTTTCGAAGTAATACGAGAGTTTAGAAATTTGTGAGTTTTAAAAAAAGGAAGGAAATGAGAAGTCCTTCTTTGCTATTGTTATTGTTGTCGTTGAAGAAAAAGAAACGAAAATCAGCCAGCAGCTCTAAATTAATAATTTTTAAAAAGATCTTGTGAAGAAAATATATCATTAACGTAGCCTGCGATTAAAATAAATCAAATAACCAAACGGAATTTCCTGGCTGCCGTAAAAAGCGTTGAGGCATTTAGTGATAGATACTACTTGTTTTGGAAGTCATAAAAATTCTGTATTTAGTAGTATTCAGCCAGAAGTTGTTATCGATTAATATAGAATTACTAGAAACAACTTGTATTATGAATTAAAACATAACTACCGCCTAATAGATTTTCTCAGAAATTGGTTTCAGAGAAAAAAATGAAATATTCGTTTTCCAACTGAAGTTACATATTGGGTTTAGTGGATGTGTGAAGGTCTCTTCTTGAGAAGGATAACAAAACTGACAGAGCTCTGCTCAAGTGCTAAAAAATGCATAAAAACAAGATGATCAGAGGATTTTTTTTCTTACCTTTTCGGAAAGTGGAGGCACTCGCAGCCGTTTCATGGCTTTTTGTCTATCACCTTGTTCTAGTTTCTCCGTAAATATATTCTAAGTTAACGCGGTAAAAAGAATGAATTTTCAAAAGTACGATACTGTGACATAGAAAGATATTGAAATGTGGTGTATTCATTTCAGAACCTATTAAAAATTACCATCATTAGCATTAAAAATGCCCACACATTTGTTAAGATTCAGTAGATTATACGCTGTGGATAAAACTAGGAACTACCAACATACGGATTGATTGGAAACGGAATTGCGATCATAGCTAATGAGCGATGCCCTACAAAGGTGCTTATATTTATTTCACTAACGGCTATTAGAAGGCATAGAAGAGTATAAAGAGATCGCATCATAAGGTTATCCGTGATTTCAAATATCGTGAGCCGCAGAAAGCGAACACTCTTTAAACGCATTTCAAAACATTATCCAGCACGCTTTTATAAGAGAAATTCAAAGCACCTAGTAGCTTGATACAGAAGTACCTCATCAACTCTGGGCACACACCCCTAAATAGGTCATCGTTCAAAACAATCTACGCGGTCATAATAACGGGGTCGAAAGGAGGTCTAACCATATATTCGTTCCCTATAGAGGCATTGGAAATCCACCAATGCAAGCCTGAAATCAGATCGTAAAACTAAGATCAGCAAAATCTTATCTCTTCATGGTTCGAATCCACTTCCCCAATATTTTTAGGTTTTTTTCTGTCATTATCATTGTTTTATACCTTTTAAACGATAACAAGCGATTACTATCCTCCGACAGTCTTTCACCAGTATTATTCAATAGTTACTATACCTGTTTAAAGAAAGTCATTTCTCACATTTCTGACCAGCAAACAAATATGCGCTTTAAAACTTATCGTTCATGTTGGCTCACTGTCATAAACACAATAAGCACTACAAATATAACCCTAATTGCATTATTAACACTATCGATGAATGACTTCAGCTGATAAATACCAATAAATAAGAAATATGTCAAAATTATCATATCATTATTTGTCCTGATATTCTGTACTACTTAGCTCATGTTAAAGCAGAACATACAAATAGCCACTGACAGAAAATGCCAGTCAACACTACTCTCCCACTTTCATTTAACAATAGATGACGAAACACCAACGTCCTTTCACGAAAGAACAGATCACGGCCAGTTCCTATTTTCAGCATGCTTAGGCACTAAACTCGCTCTTTTCCCATCTTATTATATAGGTTTGTCGGATAACTACCCAGTTAGAAACAAAACACATCATGAATCTTTATTACTCACCTCAACCTCTGTGATAAGGTCATCAACCTCCCTACTAGTATTGAAGTGTGCACACTCAACCACCTGTTGCCGCCAAAGTAGTCCTGTGTTCCGGCGGAGAAGCTACAAATAAAAGACACTGGAGTTATGTTCTCCCATTAAAAAGATTAAAAGATTACTGAGAGATATCCAAAAGTGTTTACCAAAGTTTAAAATGCTTAACATATTTTATGAAACAGAGATTAATTTAGCTAAATACTACTGAATAAGATTTATCTTAAATCTCATTGCATATCAACATATGCTTAAAACAGAACCAAAAGTTATATGGTGACTAATTTCAGAAAGTCAAATGATTAAACCACTAAGCGATAGACCTTGTTAACTGTGATTAAGCACAACTCTACTAATACGGTTTACCATGAATCCAGAAAGATTTGAACAGGAAATATCAGTTAAATTTGGAAACTAAATCAACCACATTAATATTCTTGAATATCACAATAGACGGAAGGTGATTAGAAACTAGTGATGTTACATAATTATTCATGACCATAATAAAATAGACATAAAACAACTAGCAACAGACGTGGAACAACAAATCCGCGGAAATAAGTTGGATTTCATGTCTGGCGGGAATATATATTGGGTGGAGTCTTATCATTTACTGCCTTTCAAAAGAACGTTACTTCTTTTGCACCCGTGTGTCTATTTTCCTCAGACACAAGGCGACATTAGATTTTTCCAGGCATGTTGTATAGAACCGTATAAATTTAAAAGTGCAAGTAAAATAAACTGTGTTGCTAACGGCACTCTCTTTGAAGTCATGTTAAAAACTCACCTCCAATGTCAGCATTAACGATGATGTCTATCAAGAATGTCTTTCATAACTTTCATGAATATACTGACATCAAACCGCATCGTTATAAGATTGGTTTTTTCTTAGGAACCCCTATAATAGATTTGTGACACTTGAATGACACAGCTTGATAAATAAATACTCAAAATTGATCCAAAGCAATTTGAGCGACCTAAATACATGTTTTGTATCTTCTAGAATTAAAGAAAAGCTGCAAAACTGGTTTAAATAGGTATCTAGTCTAAAAATATGGGCTTTTCATCTATATTGACTTACTTGTTCAGAAATATGTCAGCTAACGAGACTTAAGAACAATCAAAGAAAGCTCTTTCTCTTTTTATTGGACTAATTCACTAATAGAACTAATAAGACATCAGAAATTTTATTGAAGATAGGTAAAATCTTTAATGAGTTGCTTTTACTGCAATGCGGTCATAACATAACCATAAGTGATGAAGAGTATGAGCAGATCACAGGCTTTTGTTGATGAATATCACAATGATTAAAGTAGTGAGTAAGCAATAAAATTAAGGACAAACTTCTAGATAATGAGGACAATTCATTCAAAGGTTTGCGGACCGGTGAAGGTAGCTAAGTCATGTGCATTTACTACAAGTTATAGTTGACATTGATGTACAGTGATAACTCATATAAGACTAAGAAAAAATAACTTTGAAAGTAACCGAGAAAAATTGTGGGACCAGAGTAGAAAATTAGTGATGAATTGAGTCGTGTACAAAAGTATGGACATTTTTGGTACCGTCACAGATACAATAAACGCTGGCGTCTATCGATATTAAGTGACATGTGTAGCAGCGCATGTATGATAACAACTATGAGATCACCAGAAATTGATTTTCTTGTCACCAAATAGAGAATAATTGTTTGCTAACATTCACACACTTGAAGTAATGGTCAAAGCTTTCGTACAACTTGTTCATTTGACCATAGCATTTACGACCTACACTTTCCTTGGTAATTATGAGTAAAAAAAACAATATGACAAGATTCACCCTACAATTAAATGAACGTAAGTGAGCAAATCAATTCATATAGAATATGTGTCAGAATGTTTAAGACGAAATGCTTCAAATGGTTTTCATAATGTCAAAATGTCATTGCCGAAAAAAGTGACTTGATAAACAAGGATAAAAACGAAAACAATCACAAGCCTTTCTTACCTTGTCATGCTTTTTCAATATTTTTCTGAATCCCGTGAAATTAAGGGATTGATAATTTTGCAGTAAAACAAGACTTAGATAAAATTCACTGAAAGCTAGCTTCAAATCATGTAACTTTCTAAAGGTCTTCTTTCTTCTGTCCAATTTTTGGGCATCATATTTCGGATTTTCAGACTGTTTTGAACGGCTCTGACGGCGACGTAACTCCGAGTTTTCTTCAGACTGTATTTTGCTGATTTTATTCCAAATCGGTGTGTTAGTTGAACCATTTTCCCTTACAGACACCCTGCACTTATCACCTTCTCTTCCGAATGATTCTGTTAGTCTTCTGGAAAGTGAGACTTTAGAACCTGTAATCCAACTGATTGATTTATGATGAGTAGACTCGATGTAGTTATCAAGTTCATCTACTAAAGTGGTGAACTTTCGATTAGCTTCAGCAATCTTCTCTAAATTCAGCTGTCAATAAACGATTTCAGTCTCACCAGAAAAAAACACCTCAATCTTCCTCAAGGCACTTTCACATAGGTTAAAAAATTCTTCGTCACATTCATCCAAAAATGCTTTGGTCTCTTCCTCAGAGAAAACTATGTTGAAAGTGATGTATACAAAAAACTAACTTACAAGGAAGAGTTTCCAAAACTTGTGTATATTTATAAAGGTGTTCCTTCAATTCCTGAAGACATCAAAATCTATTTATCTGAATTTACATCGTAATCTATGTACTGAGTCCTCCATTCTGGAGTGAGATGAGCATTCAGTCTCTCAGCGAACTTCATTTAAGGCTAAACTAATGGATCCGACATATATGTATCGGGAGAAAACTAAGGTGACACAATCTATCCACAACTAACAGAAACATATATCACGATATCATATCACTTGATATAAGCGGTAAACGTCCTAATTGAATGAACTCTAAAATTTTGCAACAAGTTTTATAACATTTTTCACTGTAAAATTTAATTGAAAAAATTGTTCGTTTTTAATTTATTGTATTTTTGTTTGATCTGATTGTTATTTGTGCAATTTCAAACTCGGTGCTCTACACTTCAAAGGGGTCATCATCAGTACTGTCGATTATCAAGGTCAATAAGGCAGTACTCTTATAAGAGTCATGGAATCCATCAGCGACGAAGCAGTGTTAAATATTATGGAAAACTCTCCTGATAAGTATTTTTGCACACTCTGTTCTCCTGTCTACCTTATTTGCTCAAATGAATCACATGGGTTGGAAATGCATATCAGATCTACTCATCCCGAAACAAAAAATCTTCGTTGTATTTATTGCTCTGAGTTGGTTTCATCAGTATCAATTTCAAAACACATTGATATGCATTTTGGTCTAATGGATACCCAGAACCTTCCTTTTAGCTGTCCATGTTGTCCCAGATCGTTCAGTACTATGAAAGCACTGGGTCAACACGCTCTAAGTCTCCATGATATCGATAAAAGCGATGTGTTTTTCAAATGTGGTCATTGTGATAGATCAATGAACTCACCTACGGAGTTAAAATCACATCTCCGGAAATATACACTCATTCTGTTTCACTGTCGTTTCCCTAACTGTCGTGTCAAATCAAAAAATGTGGAAATAATAAAAAAACACGCGCTTCAGTTTCACGGGACTAACAGCCCTCTTGTGACTACAACTTATTCGGTATGTTGCCATTATTACCTCTAGTATCTATTTTAGTTTATGTGTTCTTGGCCTTCATCTGTACGACCAACACGCATTCAATCCCATCCACCCGACATTTCAAAATTAAGCCGCCGAGTTCCATCAGCATTTTTCTGTGCCCATTGTTCATTTGGTACATCTCACCTAGAAAACTTTGCTCAACATTTGGCGATGTGCCGAGCTATTTCTTCTCATTTGCTCATCACTTCTCTGTCCGTCACCTGTGTCCTCCATCGTTGTTCAGAATGTGGTTGGATGACCAATGTTCGTAATATGCTAACAGAACACTTGCATGATATGCATCCCTTGCTTAGTGAGGTTAGTTTTTGTACACAAATTTAACCGCCAAAAGTCAGTTATTTCCACTTTACCGGTTATGAACTTTGAGCTCTTGTTTATAATTAACTTTACAAATGAGTATAGCAAGTCAGAGCTGATATACTCCTTCAGTTTGAGATTCTTGATTAATAGGATCAGGGTGTTAATCCCTTCATATCGTAAATTTCAGAGTACTTGGAAACAAAATTAAAGCTTCTGTAATCACTAACCAATACCAATAGCGTAAGATGGACAATTAATTAAGTCTTCTAGGAGCTTTAATTTCCAACTACTGCATTGGTTTCCAAATAGGATGTTGTAAATATCACAAATTCAGGTGGACTTAGACGCGTTTTACCGGTTTAACGAATATGAGTGCATGCACCCTTTTTGACCTATATTGTTTATTAAACATTCAGTGTCCAAGTCAGAAACAAATTGAATGGGTTTCCAACCCACTAGTCAAACTAATGCTTTGTCTACTAGGCAGTTTCTTCAATCTGACCAATTGTACTCGTTTTCACAAAAGTTATGTTGAAACCTGTGCTTTACTTGGTCGATAAATTATGCCATTATAAATGTTTATTACAATTCACGGGATATGCACTTTTAAAGTTTTCGTCCTGTTATTTCATCGTAAGACCTGCAAGCTCACTGAATATATTTATAAAATCTCTAGATGCTTTATACATGCTTCATATTCTTTCTATAAATCACACCATCTAACTTGATCTTCCTAGTACCTCACTCATCAATGTGGAGTACTCACATTATCAAGTTTTATTTTATGAAGATGCTGTTAAGGTTCAGATCATTATGAACGCTTTCGCCAACAATACATACATATTTGTAATGAGTTCCCCTCCCTTAAGTGCGTCAGAACCACTCTACATCAACGCTTTAATTAATGATCACAAGTGAAGTAGTTAAGTGCACCAACCGACCCACTTATTTTCGATATCTCATTAGCCGTAGTGGTTTGGTGTCTGACGAAATCTTGAGACCGTTTCAGAAAAGTCTCGTAGATTCTAGCAGCATACGTCACTTGTGTTGGCGAACCAAGGGACAAGTGCAATAAACGGCAATCCACTTCACATAGCAATATATGCTTCGAATGTATTCTTAGTTTCGGTCCCTAGTCAATACTCTCCACATTTTTACATCTTACGAACGACATTATATTCCATTGTTTTTATTGACATTTATTTGCAGGAGGACGGAGTGGTCACTGAAGACTTTACAGTTCCTATATCTGATGAATCTATTACTGAAAACTATAATTTTATTAGCAAAAATATGGAAACCCTACGCAATTCTCCACTTCAACAACTACCAAATTTTTTCTCCTCTGGAAATTCAACTTTGCTCCATATGAACGACGGAACCAATTTACACAACGATCTCCCGTTACTTTGTTCAACCGCCTCCAATCTTTCAGCTGAAGTTACGAAACATTTATCAAGTATTCATGCCCCATCATCTATTGATAGTTGTGAAGCTGATGAAGTTGGAGATAATGAAGAGCATGTCGGTGTTGAAGGTGATAATGATGAACTAAAAAAGCCAAGCACAGACATGAATCTCAACAATAGGCCTATCACCTCTAACCTACCTCCTGATATAACGGATTCTAAACAGGAAAGTGTCACTGAGACGGCTGCAGAAGAATATGTACAACTATACTTTAATGAACAAGCATTTGTTACTGCTTATATGAAAAATGAGAAATTTAATCCTAATAACGATACTACAAATGATGAGCTAAACGGTGTCCTGGAAAAGTTGCGTCGTTTCGCCAGTTATCGTGTCCCTATTCTTGGTCGCGCGAATCAGCGTCGTGTTGCTGGTTGTCCAGAATGCTTGAAACCATTTAATCATGGATTCACAGACCTCAAGAAACATCTTCTAGTAACTCATCTTGGCGTTCGCCGTGATATATCACGTTTTACCATTGATTTCACTCATTCCGGTAGGAGCCATCATAGCACACTACCTAGTCAAACTAATAACTCACTTATTAATTCTGACAATTCACCGCAGTCAAAACACTCTTTCGGAATTCGAAATGGACGTCTCTCTGGTAAAGCGTTCCGTCGTAAACCTTTTCCAATTTCACCACTCTCCAATCCTCTTTGTAAACGTCCGACGCCTGGTAAGTACGAAGACTCTCGGAAGTCACCAACAGAACCACTGGCTACTGTTTCTTCTGATGGTCTTCCAACCCTAGTAACGTCTGGTTCTTCCTATTCAGGTGGTGCTCCAGTTCACCGAGTTATCCCAGGGACTGGTGTTTCCGATCATTATGAAGACATGCGGTCATTGGAAGAAGTTTCTGCTCAAGCTCCTATCGGTAGAGGCGGTATTGTTCCTCTGGATGAAATGGGTAATCCAATCGTTGCTGCTGTTGTTGCTGCGGGTCAACCCCAAACGTCCACCTATTCAGGTGGTACAGAAATCTTTCTTCCTAAAGTTGGACGTCAGCGCGTTCAGTTGGCGTATTCATTCCCAGTATTTAATCGTTTACTGGAAGCTTATCAAGTCCCGATGCCAGAACGAATTCAACTTGTCAATCGTATGAACCACTATGCTCGAATGCATGTCATAATGGATGTTCTGGTTCCTGGGGGAGCACAAAAACGTTTTTCTTGTCCGACTTGCATGTATACTTCAGTACACTCGTTAGCCGATATTCGTAAACATATTATGGGGTCTCACTGTGGTATTTCTACTAAGCGTTTCAGACTCTGTCTTCGGGCTTCTAGACATGATACTACAACGTATCGCTTGCATTCAGATGACAGGATGATTCGATTCGTTGAAGATCATAGGCGAAGACAAATACAACTAACCGATGCAAGATCAAACCTTAAAGTCACTTCGACTGATAGTGATGCCGAAGAAGCAAAGGAGGACTCAAATGAAACTTATTCCCAAGTAGTGAATGATGAAAATAATCAATTCTCAAATGATTTTACCAAGTCTCAGGTATCACTCAATGATCAAGAAGAACTAGAAACACAAACTATCGAGACAGATTTGTACGACGATAGTCATCAGGAAGGGGTTCACGGCGCTGATGAAGAGAGTGATAATCGTTTTCTCACTGCCAACGTAAATCTAAACTCCGAGGACTATTTCGTCACTCCAACCAAAACTCATGATAACTCTATTATAGTTGCTAATGATACTCCTAATACGTATTCGGATGAAAATGTTAAACAAAACGAAGAGATCCACCGTCGTATTGAATTACCTTTCTCTGATAATGTACTGCGCGTCTTGCTGGAGCGAGAGGGTATGTTTGATCAATACGATGATTTGGTAGTCAAGATGCAAGTCTACTCTAAGCATCATCTTACTGTTGTCTCACGAGGAAATCGAATTTACTCGTACATTTGCATATGTGGACGTCGTTTTGCGGTGAGTCCTTTATTTAAAATTTGGCTTTTTTTCTATTTCCATATATTAGCGTAAATTGTTGGTCTATCTGTCGTAATGGTTTTTTGTTTATCTACAATTCCTAGTATAAAGGTTTGTCTTCGGAAAATCTGTTCTAGTGCTAGCAGTGTTAATTGATTTGCATCATCGCTGATTTCTTTTCTGTTTCACAGGTTGTTCGTGATGAAGTTGAAAGCGATATTAGACCAGCCAGTCTAGCCGATTGCAGACGTCATATTCTGGGAGTGCATGCCAGGATCCCTCAAGAACTATTAACATTATGCTGCCAGGCGTCTCGCATTTCTAAAGAGTCTGGATATAAGCTCTATGCAGATACTTCTCTTTTGGCATTAGCTGAACAACACAAATTTCGAAGCACAAGAATTCAGAGTTATAGTCGTAAATCGGAAGGTGGAATATCTCCAATTAAACGTCCTTTAGAACCTATCATACCCAATGATAT